TGTCCCTTATTTATAGTAAGTCTCAAAAAGTGCCCCGAAAGGGTCCCGCCGGGTCCGGAAAAGTGGATTTTGAGCAAATGTGCTCAAACAATAAAGCTTCGTGAACAAAAAAGATTCAAAATGACAAAATATGAACAACGGAAGAAACGACGTCGAAAATCGAGTCCCGAGCAGAAAGTTATGCCCCAAACAAGTTCGGCGGCAATCGGGTCCAAAAACTCTAAAACTAGAGAAAAACGACTAGAAAGAAATTCTATGAATTTACGAGTTAGCAAAAAGTGAAAATGAATCCCGTTCGAGGATCCAGGCTCCAGATGAGATATTTTGCAATAACTTTCGTTAATTATACAATGGCCCCTACAAAAAGGGTTAACTGCGAAATTGCCCCAGAATGAAAATATCTTCAAAAAATAGTTTCTTAGATATCCCTGAAATAAAATATCTTCAAAAGATATTTACGAAAAATGTCCCAAGAAAAGAAAAAGATTCTTAAGAATTGTGCATCCATGTCCCTATAGACACCGAGAGCAACCAGAGTACTTTCTTGCAAAAGTAAAGATGCGTATTTCGAGGAAACCACTGAAGATGCAGACATGTGAAGTCAAAACCAACTCCGAGCATGAAAAGTGAGGTTGTGCCAAAAATTGGCAAACGGGGAAAAGACAGAATAGGGAAAAGGACGAAGTAGGGAAAAGTGTCCCGAAAAGTGAAAATACGGAAATGACTCAGTCCTCAAAGGAAGTTGTCAATCCACACGAAAGAGTCTCAGAAGCCAATTCTGAGCACTCGAGATGACACTAAACGATGAGAAACAGATCTCAGAAAAGAGAATTAAACGGAAAAAATTTATCCGTAAAATTTCAGGAAAAAGGAAAGGGAGTCAAATAACCGAGTCATTACAATTTGACATGGCTAGGACTTGGTTTTAGTATGGGAGATAGAGAGCTTCCTACACTATAGTGCGTACTAGGGGAAGGTACCCATGGGTTAGTAGCCCTAAAGTGATCGCAAGAGTACAGTTTTAATCCGGTCGATATTCGAGTACCCACATTGGTTGATTTCACTCTTTAAATTTCAAGTCGCTATTTGTTGAAGATTTAAAATTTGTCGAGTTATGTGAAATGCTCCAATCTTGTTAATTGCATACCATGTCCTTGGTTTCATGTATTATTCCTATCGTGTTAATTGGAATGCTCCAATCATGTTAATTGCATTGATAATGTAATTTTTTGTCAACTTATATCTAAGTACCCTTCTTGTCGTGTTGTATGGATTATTTCAAACCTTACTTAATTGTGTTGATAATGTAATTCATGTTGATCTATATTAAAGTATCCTTCCTATTATGTTCCTTGGATTATCCCAATGTTGATTCGTTTCATATATATGTATGTATCATGATTCTTGTTGATTACACTCTAAGGTAGCTTAGGATGCTCCCTGAGTCTCATTTTGACATATATGTCAGGTGGCATGAGCCCTTTGACATGTTTCACCTTAAGGTGATATAATTGTAAAATGTTAGGTCTGTGCAAGATCATTTCCTACAAGTAGCTTTATATTACTCACCTCGAAGTTATTGGGAATATTTTCAGGTATGAAGACTTGGTTCATGATGCTCATCATTCCTTGGATGACTTGTAGCTTTTAAATTTCTATTTCATGTAAATGTTAGCATGAAATGTCATTTTGTAGCCTTGTATATCAAAACTTATATCTTTGATTCCATATATGTAATGTGTACATAAGTACACTCTTTTCAATATATTTGACATATATGCGATGATGCCGGAGGCCAATGACATGTATCCTGTATTCTATGCACTTTCGCTTTCAAGGTTCACTATGAAAATATTGAAAAATCACAAGTCATTGCTACACCATGGTTGCATCGGGCGTAAGAATTCCATTCTTTTTCTTTTATAGAGTCTTTATGATCATGCATGAGGTGTGGCGAAGGGCCAAACATCATTTTGTTCTAGGTTTCGCATTTTGGTTTCATTTATTGTATTTTAAGGCATTTTTAGCCGTTGAGAGGTCATTTTTTCCATTGGGGTTATTTTAAGGCCACGGACCGTTGGGACGCGTCTTAAATGTCTTTTTACGTTTGCGTGCATGTCCACTTTTCACACAACTCTCAAGTTTCAACTTTGGAACTATTTTTGGGCGATTTTATGAATTTTTATGAAAAATTCATGCATTAGGGTATCATTTTAAGTTCCTCTTTGTTTTGGTATGTTTTGGACACTTGAATGACGCTAAGGAGTGTTTTCAAACTTGTTCGGATCATGTAGAATGTATGTAGAACCTTAGAGACGGATCGAGTACCCTTCACACACATTGCAGCAGCTTTTTCTTTACTGCAGCAGATGTGTCAGTCGGCTGATGGGAGCCATCAGCTGGCTGACAAGCCTCGAGACCCCATTTCCAATAGGCTTTTCATGAAAATCATCATTTCAGTCGGCCGACAATTGGGCTTCGGTCAACCAATCCTCCTTAGAACCATTTTCTTCATCTTTTCCTTGGACAGCTTTGTTGTTCCAACTCTAAGAGATCATATCTTATTTGTTTTAGATCCAAATTGGGTCGTTCTTGAGTCTAAATTCAAGAACTTGAAGTTAGATTTCCAATGGTACTAACCACTCATCAAAACTCCATCTATAGTGTGAGTTATTCCAGTTTTAGTGAGATAGGTTCGTAGTAACTCTTAAACGGCGAAAGCCACTTTGTTTTAATTTCATATCTTTTCCGTTCGGACTCAGAATTAGGCGATTCTTGAGTCTAACTTTGTTCATTTTTCATTGTCTTTCCAATGGTGTGCGCAGTGGCACCCATTTCAGTGTGAAATGATCATTTTACCCTTGGTTCATTCCTTTTCGGGTTTAGCATTCTTGCTTCATTTCCTTGGCTCATTTGAGTTTCGTGGCTTCATGTGAAGTCATCTTGGTGTCTTAGGGGTGACGTACATCTTTTGAGGCCATTTTGCTTATTTTGTTCCCGCATTTCAGATCCGTTATCGAGTCATCTTTTGGTTCATCACAAGACACACTAGGTTAAAAAATTCAGGGTCGTCACAAATGAACCTTCTGTAATAATCTGCTAATCCCATAAAACTTTTGACTTCTATCACATTAGTAGGCCTTTCCCATTTCACCACTGCTTCCACGTTTGACCGGTCAACATAAATACCATCCCTAGATACCACATGCCCTAAAAATACAACTTTATCAAGCCAAAACTCACATTTGCTAAACTTAGAAAAAAGTTGTTTCTCCGATAAAATCTATAGCACAATTCTTAAATGCTTTTTATGTTCATTCACACACCGAGAATATATCAAAATATCATCGATGAAGACAATAACAAATGAGTCAACATACGGATGAAATACTCGATTCATTAAATTCATAAACACTGCTGGAGCATTGGTTAACCCAAAAGGCATTACCAAAAACTCATAATGGCCATTTTAAGTCCGAAAAGCAATTTTAGAAATATCACTATCCTTTACCTTCAACTGGTGATATCCTGACCTCAAGTCAATCTTTGAAAACACCTTTGCCCCTTACAATTGATTAAACAGATCATCAATTCGTGGCAATGGATACTTGTTTCTGATGGTTACTTTATTTAACTATCTGTAGTCAATACACAACCTCATACTACCATCCTTCTTATTAACAAATAACACCGGTGCACCCCACGGTGAAATGCTAGGTCGAATGAAGCCCTTGTCAATAGATCTTGCAACTGTATTTTTAATCTTTCAATTCTGTCGGTGCCATTCGATACGGAGCAATAGAAATTAGAGCTGTTCCCGATACCAACTCAATGGTAAAATCTACCTCTCTGTCCACTGGCAACCCCGACAATTCTTCTGGAAACACATCTATGAATTCCCTTACCACTGGTACATTTTCAAGTGTCATATCTTTATTTTTTGTATCAACCACATAAGCCAAGTAACCCTAACGCCCTTTCTTCAACAACTTTCTGGTTTGTATAGCTAATATGAGACAGTTTGGAATAACATTTATTTTTTCGGTAAATCTGAATTCTGGCTCCCCTGGTATCTGAAATACAACTTCCTTCTAGAAACAATCTATTGAAGCATGATACACAGATAGCCAATTCATACCTAAAATGATATCAAAGTCTGGTATACCCAACGGTATCAAATTCGATTTTAACTGTCTATCCCCCAATTGTATTACACAATCTCGATATTCATTTGCAACCACTACCACTTCCCCCATTGGTGTAGAAATAAATAATTTACTATCTAGTGATGAAAGTGGTCTACCCAAATGCATAGCAATAGATGATGCAACAAATGAATAGGTTGAGCCAGGATCAATAAACACAGTAACATTTTTATCCAAAATAGAAAGTGTACCTGTCACCACTTCTGGTGTTGCTTGAGCATCTTGAAGTGTCATAGCAAACACTCTTCCCTGGGCTTGTGAACCACTTGTAGCACCCCTACCTCTTTTTGACGAGCTCCCCTGTGCAAAACCTCTACCAGAACCAACAACACTACCCACTGAGGTCACTCTTGTCAACATAAGATAGTCTCTCTTCCGATGACCCGGCTAATAGTAATGATAGCATTCTTCTGCTTTCAACACAGGATAATCTTTATTCTGGTGGCTTTCCCTTCCACACTGAAAACACCCCCGGCCAGTACCACGTCCTCCAAAGCTACTTTGTTGTACAGATTGTTGTTCGGAAAACCCTTGACCTCTTCCAATACCTGATGTCTACCCTTGAGATTCACTACCCCTTCCCCTTCCATACCACGACCTTTGACCTCCTTGACTTAAAATTCCTTCACCTCCTTTTGATTGTGATGGTTCAGATCTATTTCTTTTGTATCGTTCCCTTCCTTCTTGCAATTCTTTCACATCCCTTTCTGCAATCATGGATTTATTCACAAGTCTATTGTAATTTGTTTCCTCAAAAACTAAAACTCTGGACTTAATAGCAGCCTCTAAACCATCCTAGAATTTTTTACATTTGTCTTCTTCATTCTGTACAAACTTATGTGCAAACCTCGATAAAGCTGTAAACTTAACTTTATAATCATCTACAGACATTCTATCTTGTTTTAGGAGAATAAACTCCCGTTCCTTCTCTTTTCTGTGAATTAGTGGGAAATATTTCTCATAAAAAGATTTAACAAATGGATTCCAGAATATCGCCTTTTTTTCTCCTGGAGTAAGCAATAAATGTTTTGTCGTGTCCCACCAATAACTGGCTTCATTTTTTAACATAAATGTAGCTAAGTTTACTTTTTGGTCTTCTGTTGCACCCATCACTACAAATATTGATTCAATTCTTCTTACCCACCCCTCTGCTTCTTCTAGTTTGGTAGTACCTGAAAACTCTCGGGGTGTTAGCTTTATAAAGCTCTCATAATCCGAGCCTTTCTTTTCATTCTGTTGCCTTTCCAGCCTTTCTTGTATTATGATTTGACTTGCCATAAATTGTTTATTTTGTTCTGCCAAGTCTGTTATAGCCTTCTCTATTTTCTGCATACCAGTTAACTGCTCATGTTCTCTTCCCATACCACCCTGAATAGGTTGTTCTACTTCAACCTCAATAGGAACATAAGAGGCTTCTTCCTCAATTCTATGATAACCACTTCCTCTTCCCATTACTTTTTATCTGCAATGAATCTTAAATATAATGACATATATATATGATACATAATCACCAAATATATTTGTTAGTATAAAATCAAGTCAAATAAATGACTCTACTACACACTTCCTATTGCCACTGCTAGTCTAGATTCTTACTACCTCCAGAACCTAGAAAACCTAGGCTTTGATACCAAAAGTTGACACACCCCAACCTAATTTACAATATTTAAAAAATTGAACAATTGGAATGTATATAACCATCTACATTAACCTCATACATATGTGAAGTCATTATATATGGGAGTGCCTACTTAAAAGTTTACAACAAAAAAAATAACTATAAATCCATCTTGCAAGTTCTAAGAAAACTAAACTATTAACTACAAGTCACAATATTAAATTCTACTACAATATTTACATTTTATACAAAAGATGTTCCATTGTTCTTTTCTCCATTCACACCTCAGACTCTAGACCTAGCAATAGCGACCCAACCTTGTACTTGAAAATATAGATATGGAAGGAGTGAGCTTTAAGCCTAGTGAATGCAACACTACTACATCAACATAATATAAACAAATATTATCTGACAACTTCAATTAAACTATATAAACGTATAACTTCCATCTTTACAGGCATTAAAATATAGTACTCTCTTTTTAAGCCAGAGTATGGACCTTATATAATATAGTACTCTCCTTCTTGGCCAGAGTATGGACCTTATATAATATATATTACTCTCCTTCTAGGCCAGAGTATGGACCTTACATAATATATTACTCTCCTTCCAGTCCAGAGTATGGACCTTATATAATATATATAAGCTTTTCCACATTAAATAAATATCTCTGATACTTTAACATACCCATTCAAGTATAAACTTCCAGTGAGTACATTCACCTTGGCTACTTTTCAATTTATTTATTTGTCCTGTAGTCTTGTCAATGTTGTCTTTTTCGTCTCCTTGCCTGAACAATATTATAATCATGCTATATTTATTTCTATATAAAATTAAATAGTACTCATCACCTCCAAAATAAATCTTTAATCCTCCGGAATTATAGTCACAGCTTGTAATCATAATAATTAGATTAAATCTCACCTAATGGACTTGAATCTAACTACAATTGTATTAATTCAAGCATGACCACAATTGAAGCAATTAATTAAGAGTAGAATAAATGAAATATAACTGAAATTTAAATAAATAACTTCTACTATAGAATAAAAAAAAAATACCAATTTCCTAACCTCACTACTTCTGTACAAACAGCCCAGCAACACTCCTTCTTTTCCTTTCTCCCTTTTCTCTCTTCCTTTCTCACTCTTTTCCCTCTCCCCTATTCTCTTTGCTAGTCTGGCTAAGACTTCTCTAAGCTCACTATTTCCAATTATAACTATCAATCCTATATATACATAAAAATCTGTAGCTACGTGTTGTGTGTGAGTTAGTGCTGGCAGCTTCATTTTTAGTCACCAATATAGACAGATAAAATTTTGAATGTAAAATTATTAAATATAATAATATATATACTAAAGGTATTCATCAAATCTAACAATTTTGCCCTTTTTTTTTTTTTTTTTTTTTTTTTTTTTTTTTTTTTTTTTCTCCCATTCACTTGGCTACTACTACTTTAATTAATAAGCTTTAACACAAAACAACACTTCACAAAATAACCCACATCATAAAATATTCATATATAAATCATGTCAAACTAAAATTAAATTATGCAAATGAAAATGATTATGTATTGGGGCTTTACAATTTGACCCTAAATGTCTTAAGGTATGCGCTATACCATATGAGCCGAGCTGGATAGATCCGATCTTGTCCTTTATAAGGAATGGAGAGTTGCCCAAGTCAAAGGACGAGGCAAGGAAGATCCGATCAACTATAACAAAGTATGCAATCATTCATAACCAGCTACATAGATGTCTTTTTCAGGCCTTTATTTAAAGTGTGTGACCCCTTCAGCAGCAAGACAGATCCTACGAACCATTCACGAGGGAGTGTGTTGCAACCATAAGAGGGGAAGATCTCTAGCACATAAGGCAATGACCTAAGGCTACTTCTGGCCACACATGTTAAGAGATGCAGAAGACTACTCCAGAAGATGTGACAAGTGCCAAAGATACAGACCACTGATTCACCAACCACCTGAAGACTTGCACGTAATGGCCAACCCATGGTGTTTCGCACAGTGGAAGATGGATGTGGTTGATCCTCTAACGAAGGCAAGATCACGAAACCAATACGTTCTACTCGCAATGAACTATTTTACCAAATGGGTAGAGGCAAAATCGTATCCCAGTGTAACCCACACACAGGTGAGACTTTTCATTTGGAACAACATCATTTGTCACTTTAGAATTCCAAGGTCAATCGTTATGGAAAATGGTACCAATTTAGACAATCAGTATGTGAGGAGCTTAATGGAAGACCATGGGATCAACCAGAAGCTAACAGTAGTCAGCCATCCACAAGGAAATGGACAGGCTGAAATCACAAATAGGACAATCTTTAGTTGCATAAAGAAAAAGTTGGAAAAAGAGAAAGGAAACTGGCTTAAGAAGCTCTTGAATGTCATGTAGGCTTATCGAACAACCCCAAAACAACTGACCGGTGAAAATCCATTCGTTATGGCATATGGCACAAAGGCAGTGATACTAGTCGAGCACATAATACCAACCGTTCGGAGCCTGGCATGGAACCAAGAGCAGAATGATAGAATGTTAGAACTTAACCCCGACCTCCTAGAAGAAAAGAGAGATTTAGCAATGGTCAGGCCCAACAGATGCTTATAAATTATCACAGCAAAAAAAGAAAAGCATAGAAGTTTTGCTCCCGGAGATCAAGTGCTGAAAAGAGTAGTAGGCATCACCAAGAAGATGATACTGCCATGGGAAGGACCGTACAAAATTGCAGAGGTCGTAGGAAAGGGTGCATACATGTTAGAAACCTTAGTCGGAAGGCTTGTTGCCAAGCCATGGAATGCCACGTTTCTGAAGAGGTATTATCAATAGAACGGTCATTGTCAATTAAGTTTGCATTAGAATCATTTCTTTTTATGTGAATAAGTACATTAAGCAGAAAAATTTATAAAGAGAAAAGCTTTTAGAAAAAGGGCAAGTGGCATTATGAGTCACATAAAAAGCTTTTCTCTTTATAAATTTATAATCAAATCAGTGGTAAGTGGCATTCTAAGCCGAGCGTCAAGAATTTAACCAAGTCAGTGGCAAGTGGCATTATGAGTCGAACGCCAAGAACTTGTGAAATTTGCAAATAAATCAGTAACAAATGGCATTATAGTCGAACGCTAAGAGCTTAATTAGCCGAGTTAGTGGCAAGTGGCATTATAGTCGAACGCCAAGAGTTTAGCCAAGTCAGTGGCAAGTGGTATTATGAGCAGAACACCAAGAACTTAACCAAGTAAATGGTAAGTGGCATTATAGTCGAACGCCAAGAGTTTAGCCAAGTCAGTGGCAAGTGGCATTATGAGCGGAACGCTAAGAACTTAACCAAGTAAATGGCAAGTGGCATTAAGAGCCGAGTATCAAAAACTTGTACGAATACATATAAGTCAATAGCAAGTGGCATTCTAGCAGAATGCTAAGAATTTAATTAAGTCAGTGGCATTCTAAGCCAAACGCCAAGAACTTAACCAAGTCAGTGGCAAGTGGCATTATGAGCTGAACACCAAGAACTTGTGAAATTTACAAATAAGTCAATGATAAATATCATTATAGCCGAACGCTAAGAGCTTAGCTAAGTCAGTGGCAAGTGGCATTTTGAGCTGAAGGCCAAAAACTTGTACAAATTTGTTAATGAGCCAGTGGTAAATGGCATTATAACCGAGCGCCAAACACTTATACAAAATTATTTATTCAACATAGAGGCATTCTAACCGAACGCCAAATATTTTGTAAAAATTCGTAAAAGGAAATGTACAAGTGGCAGTAAAGAGCCGATCGTCAAATAAAGCAACAACTAAGGGTCACTAGATCCTAATATGTCCTCTCATCCCCCCGGACTGATCCAGCATTATCCTGAACATTATCCGTCTCCTCATTTCCTCGGGATGGGGAGTTAATTTGAATGATGTCCTCAGGCGCCCGAGCTTGACTGTCAATAGCATGAGCCGGTGGGATGGAAGAAGGGCCAGGTGCAGTATTCAAAGGCTAAATTATAGAGACAAAAGGAATGGCCCCAGAGGTCACGATCTCTTTGCACTTCCTAAAAATGAGCTTGGCTGGATCAGGCGTTAGGTCGGTATAGTTGCCTTGAGGGTCGATCTGCAGATCACTATCATAGTCATCCAGACTGGTATAAGAGCTCTTCTACCCTTCAAAGGGAAATCGTCCGTGAAACCATCCCTGTATCCTTCACCATACCTAAGGGCCCCAACCTGGGAGAAAAGAGCGTGTAGTGCCTTTATCCCATCTCAACCCTGCTCATTATGCCCAGAAGGGCCGTGCGGTCATCCGAAGACTTTTTATCCAGGGCTGACCGAGTAGCTTGCTCGGTTTTCAAAGTGCCCTGAAGCTCATCCCATTCCTTCTACACGGTAGCCAGTCGGGCGTTGGCCGTCTTCAGGTCAAGATTCATCGCCCTGAACCCTTTGGAGAGGTTGAGCACCCTCTTGTATGCAATCTCCAGATGCCTCTTCAAAGTAACCATCTGATCGGTTGGTCAATTAACATCAACCTTCGCAATAGCACGAATCATTGTAAAATAGGGCTATTGGTCGGGTAAGTCGAACCACTGGGACTGCGCTAGTCTAAGGCAACCTAAGTGTCTAGAGTCATTCTTAGGATGATGAAGGGATGTTCATAGAGGTTTTGTTTGTTGTCACTTAAATTAGGAATTCAAAGTGCATAAAACACTAATTTGTAAGGAATTTAGGATGAAAGATTAAGAAGAGGAGACTAGGGAAGTGAATCCGCCTCCATCCCTATACATATGCTAGATTAGACCTAAATTGGGGGAAAAACAACATATGATGGTCAAGACT